GGGAGACGACTGTCCTCAAAATAAAGCAAACCCTGATCAAAGAGGAGGGGACAGCGCTGGATGGGGCCGGGCTCTGAGGGGCAGCGAGAAAAGTCGATTCAGAGTCGCATGAACAAACTGAGTTACACAGCTCTGCGTGGCAGATTATAGGCATGTTCCGAAAAACGCAGAGGACATGATAGTTCCACGTCGCATTCTAAACACCTCCTCCGGGATAGTGCGGCTGTGTCTGCAAACCTTGCTGAGAAGCCTTTCATTTCCTCCATCCTTTCTCAGGTTCTAGCAAATATTTGTGGACCATAAAGTTTCCTGCACTCAAGGAAACTGCAGAGTGGACTTTGGAGGGCAGAAGGGGGACTGAGGGACAAACCACAGGTTGGCCAGAGAGAGGACACAGCCCACGAGGCAGAAGTAGGATGGGAAGGGAAAGTGCACTTAAAACATACCTTAGCCCGGTGATGACAAGGACAACCTGCAGTGAGCTCATGGACATCGACTCCATGGCCATGTCCATGCAGGAGGAAGCCGTCTGCTGGGCTTCACGTCCAACTGGCTGTGACCATTCATTCAGAGCCCAGGCCACAATCCTGGTGGCTGGGACAAAGGCTGCACACAAATAACAGTGTGCATATAGGCGTGCACACACACACGCACATAGGAGTCACACATGCATCACCGCTGCCCGCGGGATGGGTGTGGCCTTGGCTTCCGTCACCCTGCTCTGGGGTCCAGCACACTCCACTCCTAGGTGACCTCCTTTGCCCAACACGAGTCCTCTGTCCGAGAGTGGATTCCAATCTGGGGGCTGCACAAAAAAGATCCCGTTATCAGCGCAGGGAGGACACAAAGTTGTCGTGGAGCTGCACGCTAAAGAAATCAACGTATCAAACGATCCGTTGGAAAGCAACGGGAAGAAAATGCACCGCAGTGTGAGCCTGAGTTATCCCAGGCCTGGGGCCCGCAGCCAATCTTCACCTCCTCCCCCAACCCCTGTCTTCTCAGGACTCTCCAAGACAAGCCCCTTGACGCTCACAATCAGGAAGCGTTATTAGCGTCTATGTCTGGGCTGCAGACTGTTCCAAGGTCACCCTCTCCCCTCAACTCCCCCCCATGGAGAGGCACCCTCAGAAACAAACGCTTGGAGCCACCTGAGGTAACAACACTCGAAGCCGGTTGGCTCCATTGCTGGCGGGAAGCATCCTGTCTGCGTGTGAGAAAGCAACTGCATTTGCCGTTTTCCTACCGGGAGTCCTTCCCAACTGGTGCGTTGGCAAAGCTCCCAGGGCCTGACTGCCCCGCTGCCAGGACGCCAGCCGCCAGGGCACCCCACGCCCCAACCCAGCCAGCCCCACTGACGACGGCATGATCTCGAGACCCGACCACCTGGCGGCTCGAAGGGAAACAGCCCCACTTCCACAGAGCTCAGAGCTGTCCCCGCGCACAGGTGCCTCCAGGTCTGGCGACGGTTTCTCTGTGTTGGTGAGTGAACCTCAGGAACTGCCAGGACAGAGGGCAGAGGGCAGAGGGCAGAGGGCAGAGGGAGGGCATCTGGCCTGCTCCACATCCTTATCAGCCCACAGTTCCCGGCTCCTTCCCCGGCAGGGTCTGACGACCACCCACCTTGAATACCAAGGAAGAATTTGTAGCTGCAGCATAATTATAGAATAAGATTTTTCTATTTTCAAAGACATCATTAACATTTTTAATTTAGAAGCGAGCGCAGCTACCGTGGAACGTGCTGCCGTCATATATGAAAGCGCGCACGCCGGAGCGAGCGGGAAGGTCGGGAGACGCTGCCGCAGCAGGACACGGACACCGGAGTTCAAAGCCAGCAAGCCAATGATAAAACGTTTCGGCTTCCCGTGACTCTGCCCGGTCTCCCGACAGAGCAGACATGAAGAGAGGTCCCCTTGGAAGACGGCAACCAAGGGTGACAACAGTGACACAGCCCCCATGTGGCCCTGTCCTGAGCCACCCATGGTGCCTGAGGCTGGTCCTCCTGCTGCTTTACACACGGTGACCTGTCCTTTCAAAGGTCACACCCTCCCACACGCCCCTCGGGAGCGTGTGTAGTGACGGTGCCGACACGCCCTGGCACTCCCGCCTCGCACACTCCGCCCCCGCCAGGCCATGGACACACAAGGCAAGCCGGGAACGGGGCGAGCTCCAGGACACCAGAGTGGCAGCGACGGGAATTAATGCAAGCGGGAAATGAGTGCGCTGACAGGCAACTGCTGTTTGCTGCCTACGTCATGACTCTGTGTCACTGCGAACTGCAGAGAATAAGGGACAGCAGGAAAAATCCTCCAAGGGCTTCCTTTTAACTCCAATTTACTTACCGGCTTATTTTAGGGCTAGCACTCTCTGAAAAGCTGGTTCGCACAGGACATCTCAAGGGCATCATTTCAAAGATGGGGCTGGAGTTTATCATATTCTCTACTTAATCTGCACTTGGCCTCATCATACCGAGCTCCTTAATCCCCCACAGGGTCAGCTCTGCAGAGTGTGCAAATGAGCAAGTTCCGCAACCGGGGTCCTGCTGGCCTCGGGGGACTTTGGTCTGGACTCTCCCTCCTACGTCCAGGGCTCAGGCCCAGACCCGGCGCTGGGTGGACCGGGGAAGGCACAGCGGGGACCCCCTGGAGGAAGGGAACAGTCAGCTCACAGCCCCCACTGCTCTGCTCTCCAGGCCACCCGGCCTTCATAGGCCCTCGAGGAAAACACCTGGCTGTTACGAGGAACTCAGAGCATCTGCGTGTTGACCCACTAAAAACACAAATGCAGCAGGAAAAAGCCACGTTAGTAAAAGCAACCAAAACGAGCATGTGCAAGAATTACTGCGTCTTGTGTGTCCCCGAGGGACGACATGCTGTGTCAGCGCCTCCTCAGACAGGATGGTGGCTTAGAGAAGCACGGTCGGAACAGGCCGGCCTGGGCGGTCGGCTTCAAAGACTCACTGGCCACTGCGCGAGGGCCTTGCTTAGGAGGGCGGGACAGCAACAGACCTTCTCGGCTTTGATGTAGAAGAATAAACTCCCCAACTCGGGGCTGAAGCAACTCAGCGAGGAGAGGGATGTGCTTCTAAAGGCAGCGCCAAACCAGCACCGCATTTACAGTCGCACTTTAATGAAAGCGCGGTCCCTGCGAAGGCAGGCAGAGCAAGTTCTTCCTGCCCCAGCCCCAGGCCAGCAAACCACCCGTCACACGGACACCCAGGACTCACCCGCCTAATCCCAGCCATCCTGTGATACTCAGGTGGCTGCAATCTTTTGGATAAGGCCAAGAATCCTAATAGAAAGAATTGTAAAGTCTGTTTCACAGAAGACAAGAGTCAATTCCGGATGAAAATGTAAGATTTTAGTTGGGCTTCAGGATGCTGGTGTTTTTGATGTAACATTCTAGGTAGAATTCCGTGCAATATGGTACAAGTAGCTATGTAGCCCGTGAGCAGGCAATGAATCAATGAAGACAAAAACAGAACACAGGTGGTTTTTTTCTTCTTTTTTATATAGAAATGGGGCCTTGCTACGTCGCCCAGGCTGGGGAGCAGCGGAGTGATGGCAGCTCGCTGCAGTCTCCAACTCCCGGGCGCGGGCGGTCCTCCCACCTCAGCACGTGCCGCCACACCCAGCAGGTTTTAATTTCTTAACACAGCTATGAGATGCTGGTAGCAGCGGGCTTCCAGGCAGGTTTGGGGGGCCACGCGCCCCGTGGCAGCGAGCTTCCCCGTGATCACACGCACTCTCCCTCCTCCCCGCACGTACCGGCAGCACCTAAACGGCTTCACCTGCAAAGGAACCAGGAGGAGAACAGACTGAAATGCGACTCAGTAAAGAATGAAACACAGGGGCGAGGGATCAAAACAGTCCCTGTACATTCTGAACTTTAACAAGATTTAATTTTTTCCAAATTAGAGACGTTTTCTGCTAGGTGCCAGGGAGAGATGAGAGGAGCCGGTCATGCCTCACAATCAGGAGTTTTTTTGTGCTGCACGGAATCACAGAATGAGGTCTGAGACTGGCCGAGGCCGAGTGGAGCTGACACACATCACAACAGCGTCTGCCAGCGACAGCCGTCACCACGTAGCTGCAGTAAGAAACAAGTCACTCACAAAGAGAGAGGATTCCGTATCAAGCATCTTCCCAGACAGAACAGCAGTGGCCTTGGCACACTTCCTGTGTACACCTGACACCGCAAAACTAAAACCAAGTCTTCAGCCTACGTTGAGTTTAGTCATCAAGTCCATTTGTGAAGTCACATGTTTGGGTTTCAGCCTTGCTAGTGTCACAGGCACATTTGAAACAAGTGATTTGGTCATTCCCTGCATGCACAGGTAGGGTCTATAAGGGCAGGGACAGGGACAAACAGGCTAAATGTGTCCTACACCCATCTTCAGGGCGATGCCATTAGGAAGCCACACGTAACAGCGGGAGTAGCAGGAATGCACTTCCTGTCACCCACAGTCCCATTTTCCTTCGCTGGGATGTGACCACAGCATTCCTGGTCTCTTCTATACGTGGTCCACCGCTGGTCATGGAGAAGACAAGAACATTCTTTCTCTTCTCCCCAAATGAAACTGAGTAGAAAGAGCCGCCAAACGCCCCCTCTGCGGGATGGGGTCGCCATGAAGCTCGAGTGGCCCGATGCGCGCAGGGCAGGCTGCTCCAGGGAATCTGAGGGGCAGCGGGCTCGTCTTTGCTCTGGGATGAGCATGGAGCCCCTGGGCCCTGCCGACTCTGACCTGGAGGTGACAGCAGCTCAGCATGGCCACGGCAGGCGGTGCCTGGCTTGCAAGATTTGGCAAATCGCCCCAAACCACCACCTGCACGCCTGACTCACACCATCTGCACATTACTCTCAGTGTTAGGGAATAGGAAAGGCAGGGATAAAGTGACCCATGTGTGATCTCAGATGTGAACTATATTTCTTACACTTACTGTCACCCCCAGCTTTGTACTCAGAACCAGAACCGAACAAAAGACCATGCGTTTCATTCCAGACCAGTTTCTGTTTTAGCATTTATTGGGTGCCCACCACCGGCCAGGCCCTGAGCCGGGTGCTGCAGGACAGTCGCTCACATTATAACCTCACAACAACCCTGTGAGGTGGGGGACAATTCCCACTCAACAGTCCAGAGAACCTCGGCCCCCAGGTAACCGCTGCTCACCGCTAGTCAGTGGCAGAAACAGGGACTGAATTCAGGGTTTTTTTTTAAGAGATGGGGTCTTGCCACATTGCCCAGGCTGGTCTTGAACTCCTCCAGGGAGAAGGGAGGCTCCTCCACAGCCCCTTCCACGGCTGGGATGACACATGCAGGTCACCACACCCTGCTGAATTCAGTTCTTTTTCACTCCAGCTTCAATCCAGCTCTTGGTTTCATTGTTTTAGAAACTACAAAAAGGTTTGGTCCCGATCCAGAGCCCATTCGATAAATTTCCAGGTTTTGTTTCCTATCTTCCACCCCCATGACCTTTCTTGAAGTTTGGAAAAATATATAATTAAAAAAAATCAATATTGGTGTATAGTTTGGAGTTTAGCAAACCAGTACACGTGTTGTTTGGTTCAGAGTCCCTTCTTGTCTCGGCTCCTGGCACGGCAGTAAGAGTCCTAGTGACACCCTCACGGCTTTTCTCTCCTGTCTCCCTGTCAATCCCTCATGCCCGAGGTCTGCAGCTATTCTCCGCCTGGTTCAAGCACAGAGGAAGTGCTTGTGGCAATGAAATAGGCAAAAGAAAAATCCTCACACGATGGTTAGCAAACACACATAAATTCTTTTTGTTTTCCTCAACCAAGAACCCTTAGAACTCCCTGTCTGGGCCCACAGGTTAGGCCTGACCTGGGCAAAAAGGCTTTCTGTAGTCTTGGCAGGAAAGGATTTGACCAGCTGTGCTGGGGCCACCAAGGGGAAGGGCAGGGCCGAACAGGCAGGCACAGGGTGCCAGAGGCCACCCTCCCTAACTGCCTTATCTCAAAGTGCAGGAAACCAAGGCAGAATGAAGGAATTAAATTCCCAACATCTTCTAGAACTGCCAATCCCAAAGAAAGACAAAAGAAACCTGGCAAAGTAGATTTGAGTCCCCAAACCACAAGTGTAAAAGTCAACAAGAAAGGCACCAAAACTAATAACATTTTAACACAGAACTTGAAGTGCAGCCCTCCTCTTTGGTTGTCAGGAAGCCCCAGCTCGGGGTTCCAAGTCAATCGTGTACACTTTTGACAATTTTTTTCCCATTAACACTCACTCTGGCTAAACAAGCCTCCTCAGAGATGGCATCCACGGCCACCTTCTAAAGACAGAGAGGACCCTCTGGGTCCCGTGCCACCAGCCTGTGTCTGGTGCAGTCAAGGCTGTGTCCTGCCACGGCCCCTTACTCCTTGCAAAGGAGCAGCCTGGCAGGTGTGGCCACTGCATCAGACTATGTCACTGGCATTCCACTCGCAGAGGAGCCACGACAGACATACGAGAGCTTTTAAGTTCACCAGCCCCACCGTTCACGTCTGCCTGGCGAATGCACTCTCTGCCTATATGCCAGCTCCTCCAGGGACGCCTGAGGACCCACGCACCCCAGCGTTCAGAGCCTACTGTAAAGCCACTAGACCAGCCCAGGAACATCAGGAGCGTCACAGCCATGAAAAGTCAAGCTGACAACTCCCCATGGAAGCTACTCAACTGCTACGGCCTGAAAGCAGGCGTCCCTCGTCCTCCTCTGTTCAAAACCCGAGAACCTGAAAAGGCAGGGCCAAGACAGTATTTCTGCCCTTTTACTTCTATCCTTAACTTTCACCACTCCAAAGACTACTCCAAAGACTGTAAAATGATCTTTCACGCCATTAACTCCACTCAAATGCCCTCAAAACTTTAACTGCTATACGTCTTGGTTTGGAATGCAGAGTTTGAGGTATTTGAGGTTGTTTTAATTCTGTAAAAATGAAAAGGGAAGCTAGGCAAATACTGAAACTTGCAACCACAATCTCTCATCACTTTGCTGAACAAATTTGCTAAGATTAAAATAGAAAAGGCACATGTCCCCTGGCCCAGTAGGTGTCCAGAGCCGCCTTCTCTCCCGTGCTGCTAGCTATGGCTACCATTCCCGACACAGGGAAGAAGAGCCTCCGACAGACAGTGGAGCTCAGGGGGAGGACGATTCAGATACCCTTCACATTTGTATTCTGTGCTTTCTTGGGCATAAGAGTAGCTACAAACTTTCCTCTTAAACAACAATTAAAAAAAAAAAATCACACAGTTATTCCACAAGAAGAGTAAAGTAGAAGAACAGATAATTTAATTATACAAATGAATCACTTTCCTTTGCTTCAAGGAGTCCAAGTAATCTTTCAAGTTCACCTGCTGTCAGAATGAAAGGTTTTTAATATCAGAAACAACCTCTCTCTCTTCCAATATCCATATGGAAAACAAGATCATAAACAAAACTCCACCATGGAAGAAATCCCAGAATAATCCAATTTGGAAAGAATTTAGTTAACAAAATAAAACGGAGGAAAATGGTCCAGTGGGGCTCTGGGGAAAGAGGACCATTGTCTGAGGCCGATGTCTGCCCAGCACACCGGTGAGCCCCAAGCGGGCAGCCCTTGGACCTGTCACTGCAGAACCAGCCTTGACAACCAGAACCACTCTGCACCATGCCACGGTTTCCTTACACACACGGTCACTATGTACAGGTAACAAAAACCAAACAATTGCAGTTTGTTATGAAGTGGCTTCTAGCTCTCCTATGCTGGCTTGGCACATTCATGCATGCAAAGCAAGGAGATTTTGAGGGCTTCACCAAACAGTTAAATTTTGGCAAAAAGAGAGAACAAACAAAAATCTAAAATTCATAAGCAGGATTAAAAGCCACTGAAGTGAAAACGATGTATTTTCTCAACAGAATGGAGGAGTTAGACTACCACTACAATCTTTTTTTTAAAGTCTCTGCCATCCTCTCCCCAATTCAGGTCAAAGTTCGTAGCAGCAATGCACAAAGTCCTCTGTCAAGCCAGTGTTCTCTGCTTCCAGGGTCAGAGGTCACAGGTCAGGTTCAGTCAGTCCGAAGGATCATGGGAGGGTGCTCGCTGTCCTCGTCCAGGCGCAGGGCGCTGGCCTCATCCTCCAGACAAGCGCCGCCCACGGCACCCAGGTCATCCGTGTAGGCTGCAAAGAGACCACGAGTCATCCTGTGAGGGCTGGGACACGCTATGAATCCCAGTGACACAGGCATTAACTGAACTTTGGGGACAACAGTCTATGTTTATAAATGCAGCCCACATTAAGATATTCTGAATTTTAATTGCTTTTATGACTAATAAGGTCTTTGCAGCCGTAGGCAGCTCAAGATGAAGTCATTTATTTTCCAAAATTCATAAATGTCAGAATGCTACCTGCACAGTAAACAGGCGTCCTAATGGACGGGCTGCAAACTCTAGTGAACAGGGAGCATGAAAGTCATTCTCAAACTGGTTACATAGGACGCTCAAAAAATAATGCCGGAGACAGACATAGCACTTTCAGTTCAGGGAAGCACTGTCATCGGGAAAGACCAAGGGGAACGTGCAGGCGCTCCCCGCTGGAGCTCAACTCGGTTACTCTGAGAGGCTGTTCGTAGGGAGGAGATGACCCCAGAACCGTGTGCTGCCTGGTCAGCTTCTGCAGCGGAGGGAGCCCCGTTCACACTGCAGCCCTCATGCCCCAAAGGGGCCTGGCCCAGAGGGGTGCATTCAGTACAGATCTGCTGCACGATGAAAAGGAGGGAGGAAAAGACCCGTGCCAAATGCCTGGCAGTGCTTTTTAAGGGAATATTTTAGCTGAGAGGGGGCAAGTTAGGCCTCAGTTCATGTGAAAAGTCATCTGAGCCATGGTAACCATTTTTGTTCAAAAATGAATAAAATGAACTCAGTCTTTGAAGGCCTTGGAAACCCCACTTACAAAAACCCGCCTGTCCCCAGAACCATCGCCTCCCTTTCCCAGTGAAAAGTGGGAAGGGCAGCTCCAGGGAAAGCAAAGCGAGAGCACCCTATGGGAGGTGGCAGCTTTAATTACCTTCGAGGTTTGTGTCATGCCCCTTACCAAGTCTTGTCGGAGACGAAGGCACGTAAGTACCTTTTGCTACAGCTGTGCTGTATGTCTGAGTTACTAAGGGGCAGTCGTGAGAGGCAGAGTCTAAGATTTCACTGGCCGTCTCCATACTGCCGTCCAACCTGGGGAAAGGAGAGAAAAACAAAAACACGACTTAGTGTTTCCAGAGAGGCCAGCCGTGAGTGCAGTCACAGTGCCACATCTGCAGCAGCACAGGCAACGGGCCCAAGACAGGACCCTGAGTGTTCGTAACACTGTGGCCACTTTACAATCATCTCCTCCTGAATTTGTTCACTTTTTTTTTTTTTTTTGAGACAGGGTCCCATTCTGTCACCCAGGCTGGAGTGCAGTGCCATCATCACAGCTCACTGCAATCCCCAACTCCTGGGGTCAAGCGATCCTCCTGCCTCAGCCTCCTGAGTAGCTGAGATTATAGGTATATGCCACCACATCCAGATAATTTTTTTGATTTGTCGTAGAGATGGGGTCTTACTGTTGCTCAGGCTGGTCACGAACTCCAGGGCTCAAGTGATCCTCCTGCCTCAGCCTCCCAGAGTGCTGGGATTATACGTGTGAGCCACGGCACGTGGCCTGTTCTTATTTTTACATGGAAAGTCTGATAAAGAAAGTCACACCTGGTGAGGTACTCTTCTTTCATTTTTAAGATAGAAGATCATAAATAGAATTTACCTTTGAAAAAAAAAATCACTTCCCACTTCCACCCAGATTGTAAAAGTACCAAGGCAGGGGCAGTCAGTTTTATCTGGGCACTTATTCTGCCACCTTACGTCATGGGCTTTCAAGGAAATGCAACGCACAGCCTGAGGGCGGCTCAGAGGAGATGCAGGGAGAAGGGGGGCCCGGCGTCAGACTCACCGGTGCTGCTTCATGAGGGCACACTCACCCCCCTCCTGGGGGTCCAGATTGTACATGTACAGGTACCCGTCAGCGGCCCCCACCAGCAGCCGGGGAATCTTTTGAATTCTAGCGAGAATGAAAAGCAACAAAATGACAGATCACAACTTTCACAAAACCATCTTCTTAAACTAGCAGCTGCACCTTGAGAAGATCTAGGGAAAAAACCCCACCAAAATGAGCGCTAATTTAGGGTCATGAATTTGATGCATGATCTACATCTAAAAGCAAAGACCACACGCACTGCTGCATTATGGGGGCTCAAACGTCAGGGCCAAGGAGGTACTTGGTGTGAACGAGCACCAGGTCCTAGAGGAGAACAGGGCAGAAACGATGGTTTAGTGGTTTCTCTGACCAAGGGTAGGTGTATTCATAGAACTTTTCCGATTATGCTAGTCCGATAACAAGGGTGGAAAAATGTTTACAAGATTCATGGAATCACAAAGATATGCTATCACTGAATTTTTAAAGACAATATTTTTCCAGACAGTGACACTTCAGACAATCCCAATGAAGTCCCAAGAACGTCACGTGCATTTGGAAGCTGTGCTCGGGACCACAAACCGTCGTCTCCATGCTCTGCAACAAGCCACCCTGATCTAGCAACCCATCTGGACGAACACAGGGCAGAGGGGAAGGAGGGGCGCCTGTCTCTACTCACGTGGCCAGTGCACAGATGTTTTTGTGGCCACAGAAGGGCAGGCGGACTGTGGCAAAGGCTCTACCCTGGTTGAACATTTCTGTCACTTGAGAAGGCAGGTAGCTGGTGGATGCCATGAGCATCTTCCCGAAGTACCCGGTCCAGGTGGTGGGTTCCTCCAGGGGTCTAGAAGGAAACATGCCAGACACGTGAAAGTGGATTCTGCCCTGTGAGCATTACCATGTGCCACCCATACACAGACAAACAGCTCTGGGACCTGAGGCCAGATTCTCCACATTTCACAGGAAAAAACAGGGTTGGTGAGAACACAGTGCTGCCCAAGGCCTCAGGGCCCTATGGGGCAGCCCTGGAAAGAATTAGAGGACGGTCAGGGAGGGGGAGAGGCAGGCTCCTTCTGCTCCTCTGGGGGTGCATTATGGCAGGTCACCAGGCCACCCCTCGCAGCGAGCATGAGGACATCTAGGGCCTAACTGGTGACCACCGCCAGATCTTCCTAGCAGGAAGTCTCCATGAGCCTTGAGTACAAAACCCAAATTATTCTCTTCCCATGGCCCATTTCTGTTGTTGTTCACCTTTGTATGTTTTGTTATCATAAATACTCCTTTGAGTAAGGTACATTATAAACTGTACTGATCCTAATGCATGCTCTTTTTAAAATTTGAGAGAAAAATACAGACCCCCATTCACCACACATATTCTCTGCAGTAATATACAACCAACTACTTTGAAAGTGGAACTGGCCCCATTTCTGTGCTCACAGATGGGCAGGTTAGAGACCCAGCACTCATTCCAGAGGGTAGTCTAATGCTTTTGTTTTGAAGGAAGTGTGAAAAGGGGATGTTTGCACTGACTGGAAGATGTCTACCTGGACCCTTCATGCTACGCCTCATCCTCCAGTGTGCTGACGGGTGGGGACAATGTCTCACTGCCCAGCCTGGCTCTGGCAGCGCTCGGATGGCCAGCCAGGGTCTTCACTGGCAAACGCCACAGAGCAGGACAGTTCTGTGCTTATGTTTTCATCCAGTCAGTAAGCGGGAACAAAGTGTCTTGTATTTTTTTAAACAAACGTATCTTTGTAACTCACTTTTCTTTCACAGTCTCAAGTTTGAAGATGTGCACAGTCTCAGTGTTGCTGGATGCAGAGAGGAACATGCCGTCCATGCTGAAGGCCAGCGAGCAGATGCTCACACACCTGCGGAGACAATGCATGTGAGAGGAGGCCTGGGCTTCTGTTGTCACCTGTGAACACTGGTGACAACTAGTCACATTTCTCCAGGCATTTTTAACTGAAGGGATCGGGAAGAAAAGCTCTCATCACGGGCATACCTGGGTCTCTGATACTTTTTATTACTCCCTAGCCATCTTCTCAAATTTTCTTGAGAGGAAAATGTTTGAAAGGTAATATCAAGTAGAAGCAGTTCTTTAATATATCCTTAAACAGTCAATTTTCTTTGCCAACCCAAATAACAAAGGGAATCAAGATTTCATTAATCTATTTTCAGCTGAATTAGGATGGATTTACAGCCCTAAGGCTAGTAAAAGAAAACCTAATAATTTAAATTTAAATTACAGCAATTTTTACCATGTCAGCAGGCAAATCAGTAACCTTGATAATGTTTAAGAATAGAGCAAAACTTTCAACATGCTAAGTCTCTACAGTGTGTGTGTGTGTGTATACATATATATATATATTTTTTGAGACAGGGGATTACTCTGTCACTCAGGCTGGAGTGTAGTGCCATCATCATAGCTCATTGCAGCCTTGAACTCCTGGGCTTAAGCAATCCTCCTGCCTTGGCCGCCCAAAGTGCTAGGATTATAGGTGTGAACCACTGCTCCCGGCCTAGAGTATCTTAAAAACAATCACTGTAAAAATCCCAAAGCCATCAAAAGAACGTGAATTTCCTGATAGCCCTAAAAATACAGAGACTTTTAGCCTTGTCAATTACAGTAAAGGGTTTCATTCTTCAATAAACACTTACTGAGTGTTTACAACATACTCAGCGTTGCACTTGAGCTCCGGGGATAAATTAGACAGGAATGGCTCCTGCCCTGAGGGAGCACAGTGCGTGGTGTCCATGTGGGGGCGCAGCTATCACATCTGCCAGGAGCAAAGGAGTCCTGAGAAGTGTGACGGGGTTCAGGAGTGGCCTCCCTGAGAGAGGTGCTGGACTCAGGCTCAAAGGGTTTAGAGAAGCTGGCCAGGCCACCAGACACATGCCCCAAGCACAGGACACAGTTGCTGCACCACCCCAGTGAAGAAAAGAGACGTGTTCTTCTGAGGAACTGAACGTACAGCATGGCTAGAATGGGAAACAGCAGGGACAGTAAAATAAAACAAGGCTGGAAAGAAAGGTCAGATGCTGGAAGGCCTGTGAACCACGCGAGGGGTCTGGAGTGAACCCCGCAGGCAGCAGGAGGGCAGTACCAGACGTTAGGTGGGATGTGATCTCATTGTATTTATGTCTTCAAAGCACAGCCTGGGTTCATGCTGAAGAATGGCCTGCCTACAGGAAGACAGGGAGGGCATGAGGTCAGACGGTGATGTGGGCAGGGAGGGCAGTGCACAGGGAGCAGAGACACCATCGGCACCAACTGGATGCATAGATGGGAGGAGGGAAGCAAGGCAGGGTCCCTCTGGCCTGGGCACAGGGGAGGTGGCCAGTGGTGACACTGACCAACTAGAGGAAAGAGAGGGCAATAAGTGGATGGGGGCACGTGACAGCCGGGGGTGGTCTGAGGTACCCAGTGTTCAGTGGGAAGAACCATGGGTCCACAATGGAGAGAAGCCGGGGCGAGGCAGCCAGGCTTGTAGTCCGCAGCACACACAGCACACAGGGTTTGGAAGGGTGAGGGGTGAGGTGAGGCTCCAGGGCGGACCAGATGCAGGAGGGAGCTGAACGAAAGCAGCAAGGGAAACTGGGAGCAGGGCAGTGACTAGAGGCTGCGGCATTTTGGGACACAAAGGCAGGTCTGCTGCATCCAAGAGGATGATCCCACAAAGGAAAGTGAAGAAAATAGACAGTGGGAGAGTCCCCGAGAGTTTGGGGTGGGGCGGTGGGTGGAGGCGCTACAAGTTACTGAACACACACTTCCTGAGCCAAGCCCTCCTCTGTGCCTGACCTCGAGGGAGGCACTGCTACAACGTCCATTCCAGCTGCGGTGAGGAACTAGAGACCCTGAGGTGGAGTGCTACTGACTGTGAGGACACACAGCCACAAGTGGCAGCCCAGGGACCTGACTGAGGCCCTGGCTCTAGAGCTCAAGTCCCCACCTGTTCTATTCCATGTGGAGGGACTTTACTACCTCCGGAGCAGGAGTGAGGAAGGGAGCGCTAGGCACAGAGGCGGCAGGGCTGCAGACCGGATGGGGGACTCCAGACCGTGACTTCTGGGGTTTTAAAAGAAGAGCCAAAGCCGCTGGGGGTGAGGTGCAAGCTAGGTGCAGGATCTCAGAGTAGAGGGCAAGGAGAGGAGCGTGCTGACCAGGGAGGGCGTTAGGTTGTAACCCATGTGGCTCCTCAGCCTGAGGAGCCACATGGCCCCGGGGCCTGGCCTGGTAACTCCAGTTTCTCCAAACCCGTGGGATATCTGGCCACCACTGTGCTCAGGTGGGGTAAGAGACAAACAGAAATCTAGTTTGCCTTTATAAAAATGTTCTTTAACTCCTATGATAAGACTGACTACAAAATCTCACTTGGTAATCCACTGGGTTGAAAATGCTTTTGTATTTAACTGGAATTTTCCCTCTGTTTCTTTAAGTTCCCTCTGTTTGTTCCCAGACAATATAAAACTAAAATACAAATATAACCTCCAGAATCAATTCTGGAGATTTCTGTACCTTACCTCTTAACGCCTCTCCGGAACTCAAAGAGTTTCTGTCCCTCTGGAATGGAAAATACCCTAATCACGGTCCCCTGTGACAGAGAAAGAAAAAACATTATTTTAGCTGAGTAAAATAGACTTTTCTATTTCTTACACCTCAGACCACAAATGAGCTGTGTGCTGGGTCAGTAGGGAACCCTGAGGCCCTGTCCTTTGTGCTAAGCTCCCCAGGGGGTCTCCTGCATACTATCACCACGCTGTGTGCCACAGGCATATAAAACGTTTCTTGTCCCATTATTATTAACTCTTCTTTCGAACAACCTATTTTAACTTACTACTTATTCTAAACACTAACAGTCCTGAGGGCAAATGTGGAATATGACAGTTTAAACTACTAAAAATAAAAACCTGCGTCTGAGCCCCGCACAGTGTGAAGCACTGCTGGGCTCCACGGTCTGGGCAGTTCCCGTGCCCTCTGAGCTCCTTTTCCGCCACTTTAAATTGAGTTACTGATCAAGAGATCTGATTAGCTGGAAATGACTTAATTGCCTTAAAAGGAGTAAATCTACACTTACAAAATGCTAAGATGTATAAGAAAACATTGATCAAGACAAAAGAAAATGTAAAGACATGCATTTCCTTGCTTTGAAATGAAGCATCCTGAAGGTGCCAACTTTCCCCACCACCCCATTTCCTTCCCCCAGGTAAGTCAGTGGGGCTCTGTGGATGGTGAGACAGGACACAAATCTCTGGAAGAGTAAGTGAGACAAAAGCCAAGAAAATAAGAATGAATAGGACTTTCAACACCTGAATATTAAAAGACTACTATTAAGTGATAGTATTCAAATAGCTTAAGAAATAGGACAGAAAACCTTAAATAAAACAGGTAGCATTTCAAATATGCAAGGTAGGAAAGATTATTTAAACCTCACACCATACAACTTTTAGAAGATTCGGATTGTTAAATATAAAAACTGTTAAGAATATCTGACATGTTTATAAATAGTAAAAATGGCAGATGACCTAAATGTAGAACACCCAGGAAATGTTTAAATAAATTATGGCAAATTCATACAGCCACTAGAAATCTGGCTATAGATAAGTAACACTTTCTCAAATGAACCTGTTCTAAGGACAGTGGTCCTCTCTGGATGGAAGGACAAAACTGCTAAGTTTGTAATCTTGAGAATTAGGGAGATAAAGTATTTTCTGCATCCATACGCAAAAATAACCAAGGCAAAGGTTTTGTTTTTTATACCCCAAACTTCTAGATTTAGATATAGTTCTCTAATGGCATATCCACTGTGTAGTACTAATTAAGAGTTATCTCATCATGGCACAACAGGAAGATCCTTGAAAGCAGGATTAAGTCATATACCTGGGTGGGCCCAGCACGATGAGAAGCCCATGACATTCTAATCCCACAGACTAAAAGGATTCCATGTAAAAGTGTATCACACGTTTGCTCTTTCTAGCCCAGAAAAAAACATATTCTATTTTTACTGGCCTTGAAATTCCATCCAATGTTTTAGGGTCTTTGTAAGAGCTAATAAAAAATATAATAGTGAGACTCCAATTAATCAAGAAATAGAAATTCATGGCCACTTACATACTTCCAAGGCAAAAGAAAGGGACAAGGTGAGACTGTGGCAGTCTAGCATATTCAGAGGCAAAGCCAGGCGTGGAGTCCAATCCCTCTCTGCCATTGCCCAACTGGGTGACCCTGGGCCCTCGACACAAAATGGAAAACATCTTCCTTGCTGATAGGGGTGCAACGAGTCAATGAAGGTAAAGGACCCAGTGTAATTCACGACACAGAAGTCATCTGTAATGCTAACACCATTCTGGAAGAACTTGGGTATGAGATTCCAGAACAGAGACCCATGTCAGAAAGTTAATGAAGTGAGCCAACTTTTTACTGTACCTGATTTGGTTGGTAGGTTAAAGGGGAGAGGTGACTTGGGAGGAGGCTATTTTAGGATTTCAGGTAGAAGCAAAATTAAATCAAAGTCAAATTCTTCAGTGGGAACCTGGAGAGCAGGACCACTGCTTGGAAAAGATACAGGCAGGAGAATAGATTCTCTCTCAAGTGGCAAAAGAAGAGTAGATGGAACTTTTAACACTTTTCGTACCACATAGAAATCTCTAAGACAAACGCCAGGGACCACATGTTTTTGGGCAAACCGCACGTTATTTAAATCATCATAACTATAGATCATAATGCACTTTAGGTGCTGTTACAAAAACAAATTAAACAATTAAAGTTCCTAGTACTTTTTTAACGTATGGTACTGCATAAAACATTTTCCTCTATGAAGAGGGACCAAACAAAATTTACATTTAAGTATCTAGATTCGCTCCTTTTTCCATGGGCGGCACAAACTCTGCAGGCTCTCGTAGGAAATTTTTTCTTTCCACTCGCTGGAATACACGTAGGTTCATGCTGCTTCATAACACCTGACAACCTTTTGGGTGGATCTTTATGAGGTACTCTCCTTGTACCCCCAGGGGAAGGGCAGGACAGATTTAAGAAAACTCCTGAGTGGTCCGAAAGGTGTTAAGAAAAGAGGAACAGGCTCATGCCTGTAATCCTAGCACTCTGGGAGGCCCCTGCAATCCTAGCACTCTGGGAGGCCGAGGTGGGTGGATTGCTCGAGGTCAGGAGTTCGAAACCAGCCTGACAAGAGCGAGACCCGTCTCTACTATAAATAGAAATAAATTAATTGGCCAACTAATATATATAGGAAAACATTAGCCGGGCATGGTGGCACATGCCTGTAGTCCCAGCTACTCGGGAGGCTGAGGCAGCAGGACTGCTTGAGCCCAGGAGTTTGAGGTTGCTGTGAGCTAGGCTGATGCCACAGTGAGCTAGGCTCACTCTAGCCTGGGCAACAAAGCAAGACTCTGTCTCCAAAAAAAAAAAAAAAAAAAGAGGAACAGAAAAAGAGGGAATGACCACATGAGGATAAGAGTGAGGTACTGCTGGTGTCCCAAGGGCCCAGCCACTCTGCATGGGCACAGAGGGCCTTAAAGACATGCCCCGTTAACCCAGAAATTCTTACCAGAATCCCTAATGTTAACAATTAGAAATACACATAAAAGATGGGCAACATATTAGAATACAAACATCCCAAAAGGAAGATGTTTACGCAAGTCACAATTGAACAGTGTACAGCCACTGAAAAGTGTCTTTTGACTCAGAGAAATAAATTATTATGCACAGTGAAAGAGGAGATAAATTATACCAATAGTAGGATTCCAATTTTGTTAAATAAAGCGGGAAAAGAATGAAAGGAAGTATACTGGAATGTATTCAGATCAGCAGGAGAACAGAAACAGATCTTTGCTCTTTTACATGTTTCACTGTTTTCTGAGTTCTCTACCATAGCATGTTAGTTTCATAATTAAAAAACACACTGGGCGAGGGGCGTGGTCACAAAGGGTGTTTCCACCTTCTCTGTATGTTTCTCTATTTCCCCACAGATGTGTTAGGGGTCTGGTTGCACAGTGTGTGTGCACGCCCCCAACAGTGGTGCACACCCCTAACAGTGGCGCACACTGTCCGTCTGACAAGTGGGTTGTGATCTTTGCTTCTCTGTGAGTTTGTTGGTATAAAAACTTGGCTGTGTGAACAGAACTGAAAAAGTTTGTAGAAACTTTCAAACTAGTTTTCTCCTGGGCTACAGCAGACTCACCTTCTCAGAAGCAGTGGCAAGTTTGGTTCCACTGGCATCAAAAGCCAATGCTGCTAAAGGACTGTCATGGGCCGGGATCATGTTTGCAGCTCTCTGAAATGCGGAAACCAATGAAACATGAGTGCCATGGGGCGGGAGCCCGAGACCCATGCCATCACTTGGTCATTAGTCTAAAACTGTGCTATAGAGAGGATTATTCGAGGCCAGGAGTTCAAGGCTAGCCTGGGCAACAACTAGCCAAGACCCTGTCTGTACAAAAAACTATAAATAAAAAGTTAGCTGGGTGTGGTGGTACATGCCAGTAGTCCCAACTATTTGGGAGGCTGAGGTGGGAGGATTATTTGAGCTCAGGGAGTTGGAGGTTATGGTGATGCCACTGTACTCTAGCCCAGGCAACAGAGTGAAACCTCATCTCAAAAAAAAAAAAAAAAGTAGAAAAGAAACCTTACCAAATTAATTGTATCGAAGACCTGCACCTCTCCGATGGTTGCGCTCCCTGGGTATGCCAAGTAACAATTGTCATTGTTTATTGACAGTGCACACAAGCCTGTGAATTAAATACCCAGAGAACAAAATACATTTCTTCGTTATTACATACAACTTAACATTTATTTAACAAAGCATGTAGAAATCAAAAATACCTGTGATACAACCTTGTTTGCTGCATTTGTTTTTTAAAGTTCTGTACCCCTAAACCACCACTCTAGGTGATACCTGTATCATGAACAGATTATAAGGCTTTGGTTTGAATTGATCAGTAACCTCAAACTTGAAGGTTGATCAAACCCATGAGTTTATATGGTTCACAAGACCAGCATTAGTAGGAAGGAAGATTGGTTTAAGATCAATAGTTTTTAAATCTGTCTCATCTGTGGAACCTACAAAGAGAAAAAAAATCTCTCACCTATAGCTATCTTTAAAAGGCAAAATCAGAAAAATGGGATTCTCCTTTCACAAATTAACTTACCTGCAGGGTTTGGAGGCGTTTCTCTGATCGTATGCAGTACCTTCATGTCCCGGATGTTGTGTATGTACAGAGACTCTTCCAGGCATACTATCAGCCTCTATAAAAGAGAGATGAAAGACAAAAGCAAACATGAAGAAACATCCAGTACATTCCACACCATCTTCACTTAACCCAGGCGCCCTCAAACTACAGCCTGCGGGGCCACATGCGGGTGTTTTTGCCTGTTTGTTTTCAAAATAAGATATGTGCAGTGTGCATAGGAATTTGTTCATAGTTTTTTTTTAAACTATAGTTCAGCCCTCCAACGGTCTGAGAGACAGTGAACTGGCCCCCTGTTTAAAAAGTTTGAGGACCCCTGACTTAACCAATCCTGGACTGAGGTACCCTCCATTCCCTTTCAAACACCATGCAAACTAGATATGTAAGGTGCAGGGGATACAGGCATTGTCCACTACCACTTGAGAGGTCCAGAGCCCACCGTGCCCGCTCCCTCCAATAGTCATGCCAGTTGTACCAGGAATTCTAACCAGGTGATTTAACTTAGTATTACACTAACTGATAGACTGCAGCTAAGAAAGACATGCTTTGGACAGACCTGGCAGAGGTAAGCTGCTTTTAAAAACTGATGTTGAATGAGGTACAGGTACAGGGCACGACAAAAATACAAGCCATGGAATTTTTTTGGAGACAAGTTCTGGCTCTGTTGCCCAGGCTAGAGTGCAGTGGCATCCTCACAGCTCACTTCAGCCTTGAACTTCTTGGCTCAAGTGATCCTCCTACCTCAGCCTCCCAAATAGCTGGGACTACAGGCTGCGACTATAAGCATGTACCACCGTGCCTGGCTAATTTTTCTATTTTTTTAGTAGAGATGAGGGTCTTGCTCTTGCTGGTCTCGAACTCCTGGCCTTAAGTGATTCTCCCAATCTCAGCCTCCCAAAGTGCTGGAATTACAGGTGTGAGCCACTGTACCTCGCTGGGATTTTTAAAAAAGGTATACAATTTTATTCTGTACTCGGATTATTTTGCAAGTTGTCACTCTATTTTATAGAAAATGAATGTAGACTTGTAGATACATCAAGGAGATGATGTGTGCAAGAAAGATGTACACACTCGGCAATGCATTAGACGGACACAAATATCCATTCGTATGTTTTAAACGAAAAAATATTCAAGATATTGTATCCTATAATTTCTCATTTTAACCAACTTTGTCAGTTAACAGAGCAAGTTCCAGTTTCAATCATGTACGGTAAGAGGGCCCACACTATAACTACTTTATCCAGTTACCATGTCTCAGAACACAGTGACTGGCTGTTGCAGCATGCATTCGAACTCCTGACCTTGAGCAATCTGCCCACCTTGGCCTCCCAGAGTGCTAGGATTACAGGCGTGAGCCACCGTGCCGGCCTAGCAGCGTGCATTCTATAACCGTCACCCATTCAGCCTGCCCCCTATGTCACGCTGTGTGGACAGAAAAGGTGGAAGGATCCCATGGACAGTGCTGTTATTCTTTAGGTGGCATAAGCCAGGAGGCAGTCTCATGAAACAAACTCCAGCACTACTCACAGTCTCTCTACTCTGTGCCAGATATTCTTGTTAGTTTGCGGGAAGATACAAAAAATTAATAAATCCTTCATTTTGAATTAAAAGTTATATTAACAATTTAAAAAAGGATAAAGGAGTCTAAAAGATTTTTAAAAGTAACATTTATAAAAGCAAAAGAAGGTAGTAAGTTAGAAAACACATGCTATCAACCCTATAAATGACTAGACCTATGCCCATACAGAAACAGTTGGCAGGGGCAAGGGCACAGGGCATGGCTTGGGCAAAGCTGGTAGGACAAGAAACCAGCAGAGCCAGGTCAGTGCAGAGAAGGCACGGTGCCCAGCAACACGGGGGCAGGCAACACACCAAGATGGGGAGTCCCTCACCTGCCTGTTGAGCTTCACAGCCAGTATTGTGTTAGAGTAGCTGTAGTTGCAGATCTCGGTTCCCTTCTTAAAGTGGCAAACCTTTAGCTTTCTTGGGGCTTTCAGGCTCACGATGGCCACTAAGCTGCTTGAGAACAATCTTTCTACGATGCACACATCTTCAGTATCAGCTGAAATGAGAAAATGAAAGTTTTTCCTTTTCACATGGAGATATATACATGTATGTGCATATAGGCACAGGCAGAATCTGCTCACAAACAAATGTATGTCTAGGTGACAGGTGTCGCAGAGCCCTGAGGGTGCCTCTGGTCCCATCAGAGCAGCACAAGACTGCTCAGGGGGTCTGGAAGTTCTGATTATTAGCAGCCTCGGGAATGTTCCCATTATAAATAAGAATGTCTGTCCACACATGAACGTTCACACAAAAGACAAATCACAGAGTTATTTAAAATGTTTGCTTTAAATAAGCTCTGTTGCTGGATTTGAATGATGTAACTTAAAAACACACTTATTAGTTTAGGAACCAAGCTACTGGATAAAGTGAAAGCTAAGATGTAAGGTTTCACTTCATTAAGACAAAACTGCTTCGAGGGAAATACGCGGTATCATTCATTTCAACATGGACTTGACAGCTGAACAGGCTGAGCACCAGCCTAGGTACTAATACACTGATGCCGACTAAAGAGTTATACATATCCAGAGAACCATAACACATTTATTAAAAAAAAAAACCTGTAAAATTTTGCTATTAGTCATATGCTGCTTAACACTGGGTGTATCTTCTGAGAAATGTGTCGTTAGGCAATTTCATCCTTGTGTGAACATCACAGTGTACTTACACAAACCTAAATGGTCTAGTGTGCTTCATAAGTAGGCTATATGGTAGCGCCTACTGCTCCCTAGGCTACAGCTCGCATAGCATCTTACTATGCTGAATACTGTAGGCAGCTGTAACACGATGGTAAGTATCTGTGTATCTAAACAAATCTAAACATAGAAAAAGGACAGTAAAAATACACTATTAGCATCTTATGGGACCATTGTCGTATGTATGGCCAGTCCTTGACTGAAACATTGTTATGTGGCACACGACTATACTTAGAACAGGCAGTAAGATCGAGTGCATAATTCTAAGTTCTTTGTAGTAGTTTGTTTACAGTTGTTTTTACCTAGCCACTTGACATAAATCTTCTTTCCTACAAGAGCAAGAGCAAGTGAACCTTTATTCAAAAGAACAATGCAAGCAACTGCCACAACTTGGGAGATGCCAGAGGTGAGGGACACAAGGAGTCAGGGCCCCAGTGTGCAGCTTCTCTGCCCCAGCGGCATCTCAGAGGAAGCCCCAGCCCCTTCCAGGACCTGACCCTCACTGAGGCACCATCGGGAGGTCCTCCTGGCATACAGAGGCGGAGCCTCTACCTGTTTCTATCAACTAATGCATCTCAAGCCAACCAAGCTCAAGAGACAGATACACAACCGAGTAAAAATAATTTCCCGGCAGACCAGACCCTGTGCTCTCTGACCAGGGTCTCTTTTCCTCAGGAGACTGATGTGGACATCAAGTCACAACCAGGACCTTGCTTGGTGAGCAGCAACATCAGGAGGAGGGCTATGCCCACATGCTGCCACCTTTACTTCTACAACCAAGCGCTGGCCATGCGAGGCAAGGGGACAAGTCCCTCCCTCTATCACTGCCCGGCCTCTCACTCTTCAGCTTCCTGTTTTCAGTAAGTGTTTGGGCTGCACTCACTCAGTCACATCCCATACTGTCACCTCTAGCAGCCACCACAATTACCACTGAGAACCTAGGCGATGGTTTAGCAGCAGAGTTCCCTGCTTGGCTGAGGGTCCCAGCATAAGCGCTTTGGCCCAGTCCTGGCTGCACCCCCAGGCTGAAGGTCGCCTGGCACAGAGAAGAGCTCCCTGTATGCTGGGTTAGACAGCTGAAAATGGACCCCACGACTACATTTTGGATTTCCCCAAATTCTTCAAAACACCATTAAAAAAAATCTCTTAAATTGGGTCATACCTAAAATGGGCTGGTCTCATTTGTGAATCAGTAGTGAAATGCTAACATCCCCAAGTGCTACATCTAAGTATTAAAACTGCTCTTGGTGAAATTCAACTGCACTCGTTCTCACAGGTGCACTGGGCAAACACTAGGCACTGCGTACCTTGCTAAGTGCTGGGGACATGACGGTGACCCAGAGAGGTGCGCCCCTCAGGAAAACCAGTTTAAAAATCAGATTCTAGTGTCAACTCTGCTATAATTAGTTGTAAGACCTGGTATCAATTTCCTTAATGGTGAAATAAGAATTGTACTTAGAGCTTAATTCAAGGACAGATACAGGAAAACTTGGCATAGACAAAACTGGTTTTTTTATTAAATAAGCCAATTTTTTTTAAATAAGCCAATTTTATTTAAATCCACTAGCCCCCTAAATCAATGGTGACAAGAACTTATTTCCAGATATAGTTGATCCTTCTTATTCACATATTCTATATTTGTGACTATGCCTGCTTACTAAGGTGTACTTAACTCCATGAACGACACTAAGATATTTACCTAAGATAAATGAAAACATATGTACACAAAAAGACTTGTACAAGAATGTCCACTGTAGCTTTATTCATAATAACTACTAATAAACTAGCCAGATGTCCATCAGTAAGAGAATGAATAAACCATAATATAGTCATACATTGGGCAACTGAGACATAATATGGATAAATCTCAAAAAACATGAAGCTGAATGAAAGGAATATTATTGAAAGAGTAGATGCTATGTTTATATGAAGTTCTAGGACAGGCAAAACTAATCTAATAGTAGAGAAAACTCAGAACACTGATTGCCTCTTGAGGGTAGGAGGAGCAGACGGGAGCTGAGGGAGTATTGGGGAACTTTCTGGAGTAATGGCAAACCTCCATAGGCATTTGTCTCCATCTCACACAATGTTTATTTAACATTCTATTATATGTAAATTTTGCTGTATGATTAAAAAAACACGGAACTCAACTTAGTAATATTCAAGGGGAAGTACTTAGGAGAGTATGTACTGATGATGTCTGGAATATACTCTGAAATGTACACAAAAAATAAGACGGATGATTGGTACGTGTGACAGGACAAGTACAGTAAAATGTTCGTGACAGAATCTAAGTGGTGGACACAGGGGTGGGTGTTAGATATAAAATACTTTCAACTTTTCTGTGTTTGAAAATTTCCTTTAATAAGATGTTGGGAGAAAAAAAGGATGTTTTCGGTTGCTTAACTGCCAGTGCAGAGAAGGTGAAGAACTGACAGTTTAGGGTGCCTATCTTTCCCACCCAACTGCAACTTAGAAGTGGTTTTTCTGAAATTTTTATGGGAAAAAAAGCAGAGGAAATTACTTTTTGAATTTTAAAAACAGAAGAAGGGGTAAAGGCAGGAAAGCTCTCATATAAGAGAACAGTATGATCAACTTCTACCTACCACTTCTATCTACTACCTGTATTTAACAAATATCTTTCTGCCATTTAGTTTCAACTATTTTTTTCTCCCCCCAACCCCCAACCCAGAGACAGGGTCTTTCTTGCTCTGTTGCTCAGGCTAGAGTGCAGTGGTGCAATCATAGCTCATTATAACCCTGAACTCCTGGGCTAAAGGGATCCTCCAGCCTCAATCTCCCAAGTAGCTGGGACTATAGGTGTGTACCACCACGCCTGGCTCTCAACCATATTTTTCTTTACTGAAACTTCAAGAGAAGCTCATCTTGACATTTTTACCCCTAAATACTTCAGTAAGCCCCTGAATAAATAAGAACATAGGAAAAATATCTTTTCCAGTTACTGAAAAACAGTGGAAGATTTCTTACGTCAAAAACTCTAGGTGGGGCCAGGCGCACTGGCTCACGCCTGCAATCCTAGCACTCTGGGAGGCCGAAGCAGGAGGATCGCTCAAGGTTGGGAGTTCGAAACCAGCCTGACCAAGAGCAAGATCCCATCTCTACTAAAAATAAAAAGAAATTAATTGGCCAACTAAAAATATATATTAAAAAAAACACAACTCTTGGTGGATCAAATATTTCATGTAAAACATGACACAAAAGTGTTAGAAGACAACACTGGAAAATGTTTTAAATACACCCCTGGAGTAAAAGTCTAATATTCAGAAGTCTTATAAGAAAAGACTGATACATTTGAGTATACAAAGACTCAGTATACAAAGACTTCAGAATGGCAAAAAGAACCATAAACAAGGCCAAAAGGCAAATGACAATCCAGAAAAAATATTTGCAATCCATACCAATTGGCTAATTTGCTTTAATGAGTAATAACCCAATAAAAAACAGGTAAAGGACAGAATCAGGCAGTTAAAAAAAACAAACAGTAAGTGACAACACACACACATTTCAGTTGATGTAAGAACTGTTAATAGTTAAAGCAAATGAACATATTTTTATATCTCAGACTCAAAATATAAAAATGTTTGATAATGCCTAGTATTGGTGGGGTGTGGGAAGTAGGGCACACTCATACTCTGTTACTAGGAACATAAACTGGTACTACCACTTTTAAGGGCAACTTGGCAATGTTTATCAGTTTTAAAACACAGTTATCTGTTGATCCTGTATTTTTTAACTCTAGGAATTTATCTTACAGCCGTACTCAGAAGTGGGCAAAATAAAGATGTTTATCCAGAAATTCCACTCCTACGAGTATCTACTCAAGAGAAATGAAAATGCACATACACACGATAACTTGTTAGGATGTCTCCTAGCAGCACTATTCACAACAGCCAAAAAATTATAACTACCCAAATGTCCATCAACTGATGAATGAACAAAACATGATATATACACACAATGTAATATTAATATTAATATTGATCAGCAGTAAAAAGAAATGAAAAACAGATACATGCTATAACATGGATGAACTGTGAAAACATTCTAATGAAAGTCAGTCATATAAGATTCCACTTATCTGAAATGTCCACAGCAGCAAATCTACAAAGGCAGAAAGCAGATTAGCAGTTGCCTGGGGGATAGGGGGAGGTGGGAGGAAAGGAGGAACTGCTAATGGACTCAGGGTTTCTTTTGGGGATAAAAATGTTTTAAAATTAGATTATGATAGGTTGTACACTAGTAAATATAGTAAAACCCACTGAATTGTATGCTTCAAAGAGGT